CCTCTACAACTACTACGAGTCATGCAGTCACTTTACTTCATAGGAATATATATATTATTATTGTTCCTTTACTAATAGAGAGACAAATTGTGAAGTAATTTTAGTAAGTAAAAACGATGCAGTTAATCTTATTTACACAGGTGTTTGTATATATTTGCCTACACTTACCATTGGTGAAACAACAGGTGATAACTAACTAACCCAACGTGTCTCTACTAAGCCAGTACTCAAATATAAAACAATGAAATTTGTTAGACAATATTTCCATAAGTTATATTTAGCCTTTGAAAATTACCTAAATCCTAAAAGAATCTGACGATTAAGTCAATAATAATTTTTGCAGCTCCTTACATTAATTCTGTAGCTTTTGTACATAATTTCCATACTATCTCATTGCTTTAGGAAATTTAAGAACATGTCCTTATAGCCACCAGTAACACACACACGCACACACACACACACACACACACACACACACACACACACACACACACACACACACACACACACACACACACACACACACACACAATCAATATACATTACTGAGAACTGACTAATGTTTTTAAGTTACATCAAAGGCAGTATGAAACCAATGAAGGAGACCAAATGTAGAAAATGAAGAACTAGGAGAAAATAGTTTAATTAGGTTATTTATATATATAGATGAAACACCTACAGATCAACACAGCAATTATCGGTCAACACAGTAAGTACAGGTCAACACAGCAACTACAGGTCAACACCACAACTACAGGTCAACACCACAACTACAGGTCAACACAGTACCCAATAGACGCAGCAAATATCTCATCCTTAGTAACTATGAAAAAAGAATCACTGGAGATCATCTTTCTATATCAACTATGTGAGAATCTCTTTGTCTCTTTCTTTCCTTCTCTCTCTATCTCTCTTTTCCCTCACAGCATAGAAATAAACACAACCGTATCTCTCTCCATATACAGTATATAATATCTTCTTGGCGTGTGTCAGTTGTAAATGAAAAAGAATGACTTGTGTGTGCATGAGTTGTGTCGCTACGAAGGATAAAAACAAATTGTCAGCGAGGCGTTGGATTCTCTGCTCGGATTTTGTGTTGGTGTAAGCTCTCCCTCGAGGCCAGGGATAATATCATGAACCAATAAGGGAAAAAATTATCAAGAGCCAGTTGGGAAAATGTATTACGGGACAGTAGGGAAAATGTATGACGAGCCAATAGGGAAAAAGTATATCGAGCCAGTAGGGAAAACGTACCATGAACTGATAGTAGGAAAAATATTACAAACCAATAGGGCTTGTAAAATATATGTCGAATTTCTTACCCAAAAACACTTTTTGTTCTTGTGATTAAATATTTTCCTAACTACAGTTCACGAAAATTCAATATCATCGAAAAATAATACCTATATGTAAATAAACTGTACAACCATATAAAACTTGTACTTTCTTTTTCGATTATAATATGGTCTTATTATTTATACATTATTATCAGCTACTTTGTGTGTGTATGTGTGTGTGTATGTGTGTGTGTGTGTGTGTGTGTGTGTGTGTCTGTGTCTGTGTGTGTGTGTGTGTGTGTGTGTGTGTGTGTGTGTGTGTGTGTGTGATAAGTAAGCTCACACATCCACAAAAAAAAAAGTTCTGATTTTACGAGTTTTTTAAATAAGTGTGTTGATGTGGGTAAATAAAAGAGCCATCAGCTGTTGGTTGATCACTCCAGTACATCACTCCCCCACACACTCAGACGGACGAGGGATGGTCGGTGTCGTAGTCAGATAGGTCGATAAACTTGTACGGTGAGAAGAACTATTTGTGTTGGTAAATGGTCTACCCTGACAATGAAGAAGTGTAGTAATGATTAACTAATTCGTTTAGTGGAGTACCGAAGATTAGGCACCCTAGCTTACTTCACCTGATGATTAGGCACCCTAGCTTACTTCACCTGATGATTAGGCACCCTAGCTTACTTCACCTGATGATTAGGCACCCTAGCTTACTTCACCTGATGATTAGGCACCCTAGCTACTTCACCTGATGATTAGGCACCCTAGCTACTTCACCTGATGATTAGGCACCCTAGCTGATGGCACCCTAGCTACTTCACCTGATGCACCCTAGCTAACTCATCTGATGATTAGGCACCCTAGATGATTAGGCACCCTAGCTTACTTCACCTGATGATTAGGCACCTTACTTCACCTGATGATTAGGCACCCTAGCTTACTTCACCTGATGATTAGGCACCCTAGCTTACTTCACCTGATGATTAGGCACCCTAGCTTACTTCACCTGATGATTAGGCACCCTAGCTAACTTCATCTGATGATTAGGCACCCTAGCTTACTTCACCTGATGATTAGGCACCCTAGCTTACTTCACCTGATGATTAGGCACCCTAGCTTACTTCACCTGATGATTAGGCACCCTAGCTTACTTCACCTGATGATTAGGCACCCTTACTTCACCTGATGATTAGGCACCCTAGCGATGATTAGGCACCCTAGCTTACTTCACCTGATGATTAGGCACCCTAGCTTACTTCACCTGATGATTAGGCACCCTAGCTTACTTCACCTGATGATTAGGCACCCTAGCTTACTTCACCTGATGATTAGGCACCCTAGCTTACTTCACCTGATGATTAGGCACCCTAGCTTACTTCATCTGATGATTAGGCACCCTAGCTTACTTCACCTGATGATTAGGCACCCTAGCTAACTTCACCTGATGATTAGGCACCCTAGCTTACTTCATCTGATGATTGAATACTCCTAATGCTATTTTGTGTGGGGGTCATAGTAAACTAGGTTAGTTAGGTTAGGTTAGGTTAGATTAAGGTGTATTATAATTAGGTGAAATTAACTGGGGTGCCTAATCTTCATGTGATCCTATTTATTTCTCGGGAAAAGGAAAATACATAACCAGAAGACCATAGAAGCGTTAAACACAGTACGCTACAGTAGGTCCATTGGTCTAAGCTAGGCAGCCCTGTTTACACCCAACAATTATCACTCATATGTCTGTCCAACATATACTTGAAACTTCCTAACGTGACCGAGTTAATGATGTTATTTGGTAACTTGTTCCACTCATCCACAACTCTATTTCCGAACCAGTGAATTCACGACCATTGTATCAACGAAGGCCGGGATATTGAGTGGAGCTGTGAGACTGTCTGGTTACCCCATAAAATTTTCTCTTTCCACTATCCGAATGTGTTCACAGAGGGAGAGGGTGTTAAAATACAGAATGACTATACAGCAAGCCGCCAAGCGAATAGCCAATCCGTATTGGAATGTCCATTCGCCCGCCAGTTTAATAACAATGGCCTGGGTAAATGGCAGATCCATACCAATATATGAAGCCGATGATTACCACACAAAGGCGGCGCTCGGTGGTCAACACATTAATACTGTACAAAAAAAATGTCATCCTCCGTGCCACCCATACCCAACTGTTAGTCTGTCTTATATAGTCAAATTTACTTATATGAGACTGTATCTTTTAGGCGAATTAATCCACTCGAGGCTCTCTAAATCTAATAAAAGGTGCCGGCAGGTGTTGTTATAATATATTTTACGTGACAGATACACAAGCAGACAGGAAAGTGAAAGGTTACCATAAGAACATTCCCATGAGGCAATTAAAAACTTTATTAGTCGTCCGTAAAAAAAAAAGAAAAATAGCCAACTAGAGAGGTGGAATCTAAACCACAAAATCACTTAAAAGACAAAACCACAAATCCGCTTAAAAAAATCATTACCACAAACTCTCTGACATACTACTTAAAGAGGAATACTTGAAGAGATCTACAATATTCTCGAACAAGAGCCGAAAATGTATTTGCCCCATTTCGCATGCCCTTTGACGAAGTTAGCTGGATGTGAGGTACCGTAGGTTCCTTTCGCACGACCCGTATGACCCTTACAGCCATGAAGCTCAACCAATAATCGAAACAAAATCTCAGTTCCCTCAAGTGATAAGAACAAGAGAGGTGGATACAAATATTTTGTAATTATTTGCCATATTTTATATCATTTACGCGTCGAGTAAACAAAAACAAACATAATAATGGAGAAGTAAACATATTTGGTCATATTTTTGCTTAATATTATACCACAGAGGTTTACAGTAACGAGGGAGTCTGACACTATGGCCAGCAATCATGACAGTGGGGAGGGAAGGCACTACACACAAACATCGTCAACAAACTGTTCGAGGGTTCCCCAGATTACAACATTCCCCCTCCCATGGCCGATTAATCTCCAGCCTAGCCAGGGACGGACTGCAGGGCCGCCAGCCACCAGGAGGAGACCTGAATATTCATGGCAATATCGCTTCCAATGAGACGAGATGGAGATTGCTAGCCGACATGTGTTTCCTCCTGAATTAAAAATACTTTGTTGTCAGCCTCGGTGGTTCAGCTGACGTGGTGAGTCAAGGCGTGAAAAAGAAATGGAAATGACCGACTTTATTGCTACAACTGAATATTTTAGCAACAGCGAGGAAAAGTGTTTCTTGGTGGTGGGGTGAGACAAGAAGTGAGAATTAATGGTCAAATGCCCCTCAACGCAGATTAATAAATTCTTATCGGTGAAATTGGGAGAAATACTCACATCATGTATCACGCATCACATAAGCGGATGTATTGTACTATATCAAACGCTTTTCAACATACACATAAACCTTGATATGTTCATAACTACAATATTAGTCGTGACTATAATAGTAGATAAATTAAATGAATATTGATTGCTAATTTAAAATCAATCAACTTACCTGAATTTATTAAACTGATATATTACGGTTTTTATATACCATACAGTAACGATACTGTATTTATATATATTCCTAACAGTTCATATAATTGCAAATCGTTCGTTAGTAAGTATTACATTTAAACTACACAAATAATATACCAATATTTTACATCTTTCTTATTTTTGCGAAACGTTTGATTGACGTATGTTTTATAAAGAGAAAAAATATCAATAACTTACCTTGAGTATTGTGTCTACATATCCTCGTCTCACAGTGTCAATTTCCGCTGTGATTAGACGTGAACCTGTAAGGGAGAAGACATGAGTTAGACAGTGCACATCACAACACCATAACAGACACACTTCAGAGAGCGAGCAATTGAACTACCCAAGCAGAGAGAGACAGTCACTACTCTCTATATAGTTCAGTCGGCAAGATATGCAACAGGGGAGAAACTGACACACCCACAGTCAGTTTGTCAGAGCCAGAGGGAGCCGTCCGTCCAGTCAAGTCAGACAGCTGGTCAGGAAGTCTAACTGGAGCCACAAACTCTCGGCTCATTCCGGAGATTGTTGCCTGGAGAATGTCCGGCTGTGAGGGAGAGAGAGAGAGAGAGTGGGGGAAGGGGGACGAAGAGAGGAGGTGGAAAGGAGACAAAAAGAGGAGGAGAAAGGAGAGGAAAAGAGACAGAGGCAGAGAGAGAAACAGAGAAAGGGGGGGGGAGAGAAATAGAGAAAGGGAATGGGAGAGGAACAGAAGAGGAGAAAGGGAGACGAAAAGAGAAAAGAGGGAAAGGAACAGAAGGGACAGGGAAGAGAGGAGAGGGTGGAAAAGAAAATGAAGAGGGAAAGGAAGAGGAACAGAGAGGAAAGCGACACTAAAAGAGGAAGGGAAGGGAGGGGAACAGGGACTGGGGATGGGAGAGGAACACAAGGAGCGGGAAAGAGAGGATAGGGAGGGAAAGAAAAAGAGGAAAGCAGGGGAGAGCAACAAAGATAGAGGATGGGAAAGGAACACAAGGGACGAGGAAGAGAGGAGGGGGAGGAGGGGAGAAAAAGAAGAGGGCAAGGGAGAGGAACAGAGACAAAGGAAAAAGAAGAAGAAAAAACTGGTGAAAAGGGGGAAGAAAGAGACAGGAAGAAATAAAGGTAAACATATAAAGAGACAGAAACATAGACAAAAAAAATTATTTAGTGTGGAAATGAAAAAAAAAATCATGATTTAACACAACTACAAAAAGTCAAAAACAAAATGCGACTTTAAATTCACTATATCAGGAAAACTATAATACCTTACAACAGTATACAAATGTCATGGTGAAAAATGCTATCGATACATATTATATAAAGTAACTGTTCTTTAGCCGGAACTGTTATAAAGTCGATGTTATGATGTATTAATGAACTTCAACAACTAAGGTCTTATAAGCGTGTTTTATAGGTTAATAAATACACTATTCATCAAAGGTAAAGAATAAAGAGGGTTACATCTCTCTGATTTACCGTTACCTTTGGAAAGTGAGTCCAAGATACGTATTAGGTTTGAACAGTATTTTTCTTCTCGTAAGGTGAAATCAATTATGTTGTCTGAACTCAACACATAACGCAGGTAAGACGTCAAGGAACGAGACGGGGTTTAGTGTTTACCTCCTGCTGGCGACTTGACCTGGCTAGTAGATGAAAAAAAAATATCTCAACAGACCAAAAGAGAAATTCCATAAAAAAAGGAATTCAATAAAAAAAGAATATTTAGAGGATAAGTAGAGACAAGAAGAATGAACTGTAAACAGGATCTAGGCTTACGTCACCTCTCATAATTAATTAAAACTTACCAGAACTAATTATGCATCACGACATTTAAACATATTTCTTTTTGTTCTTGAATTATAAACCTCTCTCTTTTTTATAGTCCTGTGAGTATTAGTATTAATTAATTATCTGTAGGTTCTTATAAGTAATCTATTAGTTCCTATTAGTTATTCATGTTTAATGTGACTGGTTATTTTGATAAGTATGATGGTCTACCTGGTGTATGTATGTATGTATGTATGTATGTATGTATGTCAACCTAAAATGATTTACTATTTTGAATTCGTCACCAGCAGAAGGTTATTTTCCCCCCTGTCACCCTTAAAGACTCTTGTGTCCGGGTTGGGACCAGGTCAGCTGCCGCCTCTTGCTGTGAGTGTCAGAGTTACGATCGATTAATAGAGGTCCGTGAAAGACTTGGTGGTGGTGGTGGTGGTGGTGGGGGTGGGAGGGGGGTGGGAGGTGGGGTGAGGTGGTGGTGGTGGGGTCAGGTGGTTGTGGGCGGTGAGGGTGGTGGGTAGGGGTAGAAGGGTGGTGAGGGTGGTGGGGGGTGGTAGGGTGAGGTGGGTGTAATGGGTGGGGTGGTGGTGGTGGAGGATGGTGGTGATGGTGGTGAGTGTGGTGGTGGTGGTGGTGGTGGTAGGGTAGGGTCAGGGTGGTTGTGGGCGGTGGTGAGGGTGGTGGTGATGGTAGTAGAAGTGGTGGTGAGGGTGGTGGTGATGGTGGGGGTAGAAGTGGTGGTGAGGGTGGGTGGTAGAAGTGGTGGTGAGGGTGGTGGTGGTGAAGGGTGGCGTGAGTGGTTGTGATGATTGGGGTAGCGGTTGTGGTAAGGGCGGTGGTGGTGATGGTAGTTTGGTTATTGGTGACGGTGGTGGTATGGGTGGTGGTTGTGGGGAGAAGGGGGAAACAGGACCACAACACACTTCTTAATGCCTCTAAACAATGGGACAAAAATATAAGAAGAAAATGGTGGTGCTGTGTCGCGGATGATATATTAAAATATTGTGAAAATAAATGACTGAACAAATCGATTAAATAATATCATGAAAAGTCTGAGGATTCTCCAAACCCAACTTATTTCACCTACAGAGTAACACTGACCTAACCTAATCTAACTTAACCTAACCTAACGCTACACTAACCCAAAACTAATCAAACATAGTGTAATATAACCTAAACTAACTCCCATGTAGCGTTAAGGTCATTAATCTTCAGGTGAACTAAGGTGGAGGGGCCAAATCTTCAGATGTTCAGATGATCCAACAAAATAAGAAGAGAGAGAGAGAGAGAGAGAGAGAGAGAGAGAGAGAGAGAGAGAGAGAGAGAGAGAGAGAGAGAGAGAGAGAGAGAGAGAGAGAGAGAGACTTGCACACTTAGCAACACAGTCACACACACACACACACACACACACACACATACGTACAATACATAGGATCACTCTTGTACAATTTTCATGAAAAACAAGTTCTTTATTCTAACTGTAAACAAAGCAGCACTCAACCCTCAGCTAAACAAAAAATAAACTTGAAAACGTATCAGCGCGAGAAAGACAAATATAGAACTAAAATAAAGTTTCATGGACGTGTCGGATACGTCTTGATTTTGTAAAACCAGATAACATAAACACATTAATACAATCACTGGCTGCTGCTCACTCCATCTTATTAGCGTCACTCACCAAAGGTCATCTATCTATCTCAGCGGATTAAATAGTACATAAGACTTACCACTTTGGGTCAACATATTTTAGTGCTGTTTTTCCCCGCTTTTATTGTCGGTCTCCTGTTTACCCGGATTTAGATATGTCATGCTTTTAATGGCTTAACTCAATCCAAATATTGCCGGAAAAAATTGTGTATGATTTATTTATTCGTGTTATTGAATGTGGAAATATCAATCACTGTTAATCTCTGTTAGGATTATCGACAACTATTCATCACAAACTTCAACCAAATTTAGCATCTCACGATCTAAGTTACGTTTAACCTTGCAATATATACAAGAAGTTTAGCGAGCGAGCAAGACGCGTATCTCCCACACTCCTGTTAGTCCCCAGAGTTTGGTCATCTTCTCCTGGCTGTTGCTTGAGGGGGCCGCACTGCTGCCCTGACTCCATGTTCCTCGTCTACTGCTCTCCTGGGAGGCACTAAACACCACCTTCCTTGTCTAACGACGTCCAGGAGATTATCAGCCACAAGACTACTTAACTACGGCTCGTTATTGATCCTAGGATACTTGCAACATATACAAAAACATAATCTCCTTTACAAAATGTTTATAAACCGCTATACAAATTTTCCGAGATTAACCCATGTACGGTACAGTATTCGAGTATCGAAATCCATTAAAATGTACGGGTATTCTACACATTAAATACTTGGTGTTACTCAGAATTATAATAAAGTTTTCCCTCATTTTAGAAAACAACATATAAATGCGCGCCACACACACACACACACACACACACACACACACACACACACACACACACACACACACACACACATACACACACACACACACACACACACACACACACACACACACACACACACACACACACACACACACACACACACACACACACATACACACACACACACACACACACACACACACACACACACACACACACACACACACACACACACACACACACACACACACACACACACACACACACACACACACACACACACACACACATACACACACATACACACACACACACACACACACACACACATACACACACACATACACACACACACACACACACACACACACACACACACACACATACACACACACACACACACACACACCCCACACACACACACACACACACACACACACACACACACACACACACACACACACACACACACACACACACACACACACACACACACACACACCATGTTCTCGAGTACACCCCAACAGAAAACAAGGTGCGGGTGAACACTGAAGATCACACACCTAAGTCGACAGCCAGCGAGACAAGCACCTGTCTTGAGTCACAGTTAATGACCTAACCTGATCTATACTAATACAAAGATAACATTTACACCTACAGTATGTCCAGTGGAATACTGAACAAAGATAAAGAAAAATAATCAATGGAACGACCCGCTAGAACTGAACAATATTTGCAAAGGGGAACTTAAAGAATTAAGGAAAAAACAAGACATAGGGGAAGACAAAACAAACAAAAAATCATCATAATGCAAACCACGACTAGGTGGGACAATAGAGGACGTCAGGCAGCTTCACCCAGACACACGACCGTCTTGAGACAGCTGACAGTGGCAGTCATTACTTCTTGGACTGAGAGATCCCCGGATCACCGTGTGTGATGCGACTTTGTAATGCCAAGTCTTAGTCTTACTGTGTGTATATATATATATATATATATATATATATATATATATATATATATATATATATATATATAAAGAAATCAACTCATCTGCATTTCTATTAACTAGAATTATCA